TCATGCTTTAAAGGTTATATTTCTGCTCTACATCTTCCCACGTCTTTATTTGCAAATTTTTACTTACAGATATGTATTGGTCTATTGGTTGCATTTTGAAACCAAATTGTTTAGTGTTCTCACCCTTTGAGATTGTTCCTTCTTAAAGCAATAATATGGAAAATGTCCACAATGATGGAAATACCTGTCCTCCCGCATTAGTCACGCCAGGGAAAGCGCACACCTCTCACATTTTGTATATGAAATATCCCTTAGTCTTGGGAACAACTGTGCTGTGGCTGTTTGCATCATTTACTCCAACTCCCCATCTTCCGTTTCTTAACCTCTTTATCTCCAGGAGATAGAAATTTGAAAATTGTCCCCTTGGCAACTTCATACCCCCGTAATTAAACAGAAAAGCCTAAGGACTTCAGAGCATCTAAAATATGTGATAAAATTACTACTGCTCCTCAAAAGTCCAAAAGAAAGTAGGAGTTTCTACAGTCACAGTGATTTTCATTCTTACAAGTGATTTCAACTAAATATCACTTTACAAATTCACAAGTGCACAACAGTTTTAATATTGCAGTTAAAATAATAAATGCTATTTCCTTTCCAATGTTTGCCTCACTCTGTATAATCATGAAGAGTCAATAGTCACTTTGTATAGTCACGAAGAGATAATATCGTCTTCGTTTAATTTTTTAAAATGCTCCTGTGGAAGAACTAGCTCCTCCTATTTTGTTTCCTCAAACCTAGACCACTGCAACCTATGTGGTAGCAAAGCCTTGTATATCCAAGGACAGGTGCTTGAACTGTGTTTTCACACATTTGACAGTAATTTTTCCAAATTGATGTTAAAAATATATGATCAAGGGGCACCTGGGTGGCTCAGTAGGTTAAGCATCTGCCTTTGGCTCAGGTCATGATCCCAGGGTCCTGGGATGGAGCCCCACATCGGGCTCCTTGCTCAGCAGGGGTCTGCTTCTCCTTCTCCCTCTGCTGCTCCCCCTGCTTGTGCTCTCGCTCTCTGTCAAATAAATAAAATATTATATATATATATATATATATATATGTGTGTGTGTGATCAAGATTCTCAAAAAACTATGATCATGAGAAAGCTTCAAGATAGAAAGGTGTTAGAAAAATAGAGTCAGGCTGTCACCAATAAAAACTGCAACTGTCATGTCTTATTAACCAACTTGGTGGAGAATTAATGGTTCTGATGGGTGAGAGGTGAGAGTGGAATCTGCGCATGTCAGAGTAAGTCAGTGCTCCCTTTTCTCTCCTCCTTTGCCTGTTTGTAAATCCAGGACAAAAACAACTCTGGAAAAACTTAATCCAAAAATACTATCATCTTAATTTCAGAAGGAAGGGAGGAACGAAGGAAGACAGCCTCATGGTGCTGTGAGGAAAGTGCTCAGTACATAGAGGACGTAAATTGGTATTTCCACCCCCAATTTCCAACAGGGCCCTTACCCGAGGCCCTGGCCCCTAGACTGAGAAAGGTCAGGGTCTTGACTTGGCACAATAATCCTAATTCTAAGTCTTGGCTTTTTCCATTTTATTATTCTTGTGTTAGTGGATGATTAAAAAAAAAAAAAAGGAAACCCAGGTGGTCCATGTAATGTGTAAAAGAAAAGGTAGTCCATCAGGCAGCTAGCTGCAAAGGGAGATAGTTTATAAACCTGAAATCCTAGGTGCTAAGGTGAAGAATAGGAGAAAGAAGAAGTCTGAGAAAATTAGTTAATTCATAATTAGATTTTTAGAAAAAAGGAGACATGAGAGTGCTAGTAGTTGATCTTGAATTAATATAATGTTATTTTTCAGTAACACTTTTTATGAGACATTATAAACCTACTCGAAAGCCACCAGCAGAGGGCTCTATCCTAGGTGCATTAGCTTTCAATTACTGCCGCCTACGTCTACCAGAAAATACTCCCTCCATTTGAGACTGAGAAAAGGAGGGCATTATTAACTCTCCTCTCCGCTCTTATAAACTGAAATAAATATAAGTGAAAGGGGGAAATACGAATATAACTATCTTGAATGTCTCCAGCAAGCTTTTTACCTAGGCGACCGGATGCGTGCCCTGAAATAGAAATATAGGCACAAGGCAGGACGAAACGAAAAGTGAAATGATGAAAATGCATATTTTACTCGTTTATCTTCCTTTTCAAACCAAAGTTTGTTTAGCCTTTACGTTTGCTTTGTTTTGCATTTATTAAGTCCTCCCGGGGATCTTTTCCTACATCATGTGATTGGAGGTTAAAGCGAAATGCATAAGAGCAAAGCAAAGCAGGCTCAAGTAAGGAGAATTTTCTCAGTAGAGATTGAGTTTTCATTTGTACATTTTTGAAACTTTTGAACCTTTTAGATCTTGAAATAATCGCTTCAAAAATTAGTAGATATAATAAGAATTGAACTTTTAAAACGCTTTTAGCGATAACAGGTTTTCAAGAGTGGAAAGAAATCGCTAAAAAATAGAGCGGCCGTGCAGGATTTGCTTGTATAAAATCCCGACAGAGGGCGCTGTTGCCCGTTCGATGACTGAGCGTAGGCCTCCCAAGGAAAGATTTCCCTTGCAATTTCTAGGATTTTTTTGAATAATGCCCATGTTGAAAAACTGACGCGGGTTTTAATTATCGTTATGTACTTCTTTGCATATCTCTTTATATATGTGTATATATTTTTAAATTTATGCTTCGTTCTTAATAAAACCAGATTGGTTTTTTTTCAGTTTTCCTAAATAATTTATATAAATTTTAACTAAATATTTCAACATGTTTCTAATCTTAAAAATACCTAATATTAGAAAAAATTCAATTACATATGTAAATTTTTAAATTATACATATACAATGCTATAAAATAGCTATGCTAATAATATATTTTAAATAGTTTTACATATAAAAGTATCTTCATGGGGTTTTTTTCTTGCTTTAAGCTTTAGAGTTTATTTATTTTAGACTAATCAATGATATACCAGAACGATTTAAAAGATTTTAGAGGAAAAAATTTTTGTCAAATGCTTTTTATTTGGGTTGGAGTGATCTTTAGATTTAAAAAGATAATGGAGTTAATTGACTTGAAAGGAAAAAGACAATTATTCTCATTAATAAATTTGTGTCTAGAGCATCTGAATTTCCAAGTCTATAATATCTGCCACTGATTTTAATTCTGGAAAGGGTGGGAAGGAATGGTAAAACCGGTACCAAGTCCTACCACACAATGAAATTAGAAAGAATGCCTTCCCATGTCCAAACCAGCTCTGGGGGCAAAGAAGAAATCTTTGCTCACGCTCCCAGTGGGAAATCTGTATAGATTTTGTATGGTTTAAGATGTTAATATTTAAAGTAGAGGAAAAGAAGAAGGAAGAAGGGATAACAGGATGGAAGGAAGAAAAGAAGGAGGGAGAGAGGAAGGGCAGGAGGGAGGGAGAAAAGGAAAGGCGAAACATGAAAATTACAACTGGAAATGAAGAAAAAAGGGTTTATTCCTGAAGTTCTTTCTGAAGCACCTTTGCACCTATTTTTGTGTTCCTTTTATTGGACTTATCGTTAAGAAATCAAATCAAAAGCCTGCAGAATTTTTCGTTCTGCATTATATGAAGCTTCTCCTTGGTTTTTATCGAGTCCACCGCGGTTGTCCGGAGCCCTCTCCTGGAAGAGCGTCCGTCGCGGCGCGCACAAGGCAGCGCTCAGCAGTCGTGAGATTCACAGACAATCGCCCTTTGCAGATTCACTCTTATCAGGTTTAATAACTTCCACCCCAAATTGCCCCGGTCACTCCTCATTCCCTCCTGTCATTTATTTTCTGCCCCAGGGGCAGAGATCCTCCACTGGATTTCCCTTCTGGCTGTGGGAATCCTCCCGGACCCTGAAAGGGAGTAGAAAAATAGAGGGGGTGGGAAAAAGAGGAATGAGGTTGAGTATTCACTTTGTGATGAAATTCAGAAACCCTGTGCCTTAAAGGGCGCCCATTTTCAAGGTTTGGTTAACTTTGTTATTGTTGCTGTTTATGTGTTCCTTTTTGGAAAAAAAAACCAAACAAACCTACACAATTCACCTCCCTAAGGAAAAAAAAAATACACTAAAAACAAAAAAAAATCCGTACATACTAAAATATTTTTCACTATCTCTTTGAAGAACATTTTGCTTAAATCTTCCAAGGTTCAGGTGAACATTTCTTGACTGTCCATGATTAAAACCACTTAAAAGTTATAGACAACAGATGCAAATATAATGTCCTATGCCTCCGCAAAGAATTAACAGTGTGCGAATGTGTGTTCCCAACATCTGAAAAAAAAAAACCAAAACACTTCATAATATGGAGCCTCTAGCCAAGGCACAAGGAATTCGTTGAAAATGCACACAAACAACCCTTAAAATGACAAACAAGACAGACTGAGGTGTTCATACAGTATTTAAGTTTCCAAATGTGTAGGGCAAAGTGACCAAAAAATATTAGAAATGGTCACTGTGGTGAGCTGGCTTTTGTTGTTGTTGTTCTACACTGATAGAGGTACAGTTAAAAAAAAAAAAAGTTTGTAGACATTGATACAGAGAGATTGCCCTAAAAAAATCCCCAAATCCAGCTTTCAAAATACCCTCCTGCTGAACACACATGAATAGGAGCTTTTGTGTATAAAAATCTCAGTAATGGTCCCCCTTTTAAAATCTACATAGAAAATGGGGGACTGTTGGCCCCCTGGTTTCTCATTATGAATTGTAAAGACTTTAGTCAGTGGCTACAATGATTCATCATTTTCCATATAGAGGTTTTTAAATGTGTATATTTATATTAATCACACTGAACAACTATCTCTCCTTTAAATGGATGTTTAGAGCCTGTAGACTCTGCGTGACCCAGGGGTGCTTATATAACTCAATGTGGGTGTCTGGGTGTAAATACGTGTTTATGATTTTTATAATATATATGTCTGTGGGTTGCATCTAACTCCTGTGTGTGTAATAATGTTTTTCTCTCTGCTGAGGCTTACTTCTCCAGCCTATTGTTTGAGACAACAGATATAAGTTGCGATGGGAGAGGAGCGTCGGATTTGGTGTGTATCCCCCATTTCCAATTATAGATGGATCATTACAGACAGCGGAGTCCTGAGAAGCCAGACATCTGCTCCTCACATGAATGCACTCACCTCCTAGAGACCAGGCTGCCATCATGCTCTGGAAGCTCGTGGAGAATGTCAAGTACGAAGATATCTATGAGGTGAGCCGACACCCCCAGATGCATCTTAGAGCTTTGCAGATAGAGAATTTGAGCTTCTTGACACCCCAACTGATATATATTTTTCAGCTATTTAGTCGTAGATTTCAGGCCGGTTTTCTCAGCTTTCTCTAACTTTTAGAAAAGCTGGCTGGGGGGGAGACGTCGCGATTCGGAAAAAGAACTTTAAGGTCGAAATCTGGCTACTTTAAGTTAGGAGATTTTTTCTCTCTTTCTCTCTTTTTCTTTCATTTTTCTTTCTCTCTTCCTCGCCCCCACCCCCCCTTAAGGTTCTGATGGGAAATGTGGTGCTACTGAATGTGGGCAGAGAAAATAGAGACCGATAAAGGCAGAGGCTCTCCTCGTTTTGAGTATGGGAGAGAATTAGATTTTCAAGCCTCATTCGTAACAGACTCAGGCTTTTAATTTTTATTTTCAATAATATTTCTGAAATCAATAACAAACGGATCCAAGTAGAGGACGGAAAATTAGGAGGAGGGAAGTAGATAGAGGGCTAGATTGGTGTAGATAGAGCACAAGCCAAGGAGCCCTAGCAGATCTCTTTTTTTCTCTTTTCTTCTTTTTTCTTGTGTTTTGCTTTTTGAGAGTCAGTGCGTCCAACCACCCCATGTCCGGGCATTTTTAACTCAATGTTCTGCCCTTGTTCAGCGCGCACTGCTCTCCAGCGCTGGGGTTAGCGCAACTCTTCCTCGGGCTGGAGAAGTTGCCCGCCGCCCGGCGGGGCCGTGGCCCCGCTCGCCGCCGCCCTCCGCGGTCTCGGGCGCCCACTGATGCGGCGGCGGGGCGGCTCCGGGGCTCGCGGGCGAGGCGGGCGTCCGGGCGGGACACGCGGCGGGACGGGGAGGCGACGGCGGCGGAGGCCCGCGGAACTTCGCTCGGAGCGGAATGGCCTCGCAGACCCGCACTTAGGTGCCAGGGGAAGAGGGAATGGAAGGCTGGAGGAAACGTCGAGGGAGGGAGGACAGAAAGGAAAGCTTCGAGGAAAGGCGCCGCAGAACTAAGGCAGGGGGAAGGTCGAAGCTGGCGGGCCGGGCGACGGAGACTGCAAAGCGGGAGAGCTGGAGAGAGGAGGGAGGCCGGGAAGCGAAGTCCCGGGCGAGGAGCGCGGGTAGCGCTCTATCGGTCGGACCGAACGGTCGCGGTGGGACGCCCAGAGGCTCCCCCAAACCGGCGGGGGGAGAATATGCGACCCCTGCGCTCCGGGACGCCTCCGGAAAGCCCGGCAGGGAGCCGCCTTGAGGATGAGGGGCCGCGCACTGAAGCGGCCGGTAAGCCCCGACTGACGCCGCGGGCCAGGCTTACCGGGCGGACCCGGCTCCGAGGCCCCGCCGCAGCCGGGCCGCCGCGTCCCGCAGGCAGCTCACTGACCGCAGCTCCCGCCAGCCCGGAGTACTAGTTTTAGTGTGTGTGTGTGTGTGTGTGTGTGTGTGTGTGTAAGAGAGAGACAGAGGCACAGAGACGGAGAGAGAAAGAGAGATTGAGGAGATTCGTCTTTCTGCGGAGCGATGATGAGGCTTTTCCTTTCCTCTTTGTGGCCGTGTATTGACTGTAACGAAGAGCCGCGCCTCCGCCTGGTGCGTTTTGTTTCGGTTCGGCCTCCTTTTCTTTCTTTAACACGCGGGATAATGGTAAAGTCGAAGTTGCTGGAACTATCCTAAAGAATGTGAGCGCCCGAAGTGGGCATGAGAACGGGTGAAGACGGGGGCACGGTGTGTAAATAGCTCGGAATATACATAGAGGGATTTTAGTGGGTTCCCAAAAGTAAGCAGGATAAAACTTGTTCTTTGCTTATGAAAAGTAAACTGGCTAAATGGGAAAGGAGGGAGGGAGAGCAGAAAGGACGGAGGGAGAGAGGAAGAGGGAGGGGTGAAGTGGAAGAGGGGCAGAGAGGAGAAAAAATAGGAGGGAGGGGGAAGAGAGGGAGAGAAGACAGGGGAGAGGGGGAGGGTGGAGAGGAGGGAGAGGAGAGAGAATATTGCAGGTATCCCTATTTGCCTAAAATTTCTGCTCAAAAATATAGGAGAACCCGCAACCCTGTGGAAGGAACCTTTTTAAGTCGGGAAGAAGGTTGAACTTTAACAGAAATGGCAGTCAGGCCAGTTGAACGGGTTCCTGAAACATCCAAAAAGGTTTTCTGTTGCCCCTGGCTTTGCCTTTTGAAAAGGATAAGTTTAGTGTACTTGAAGATTGATTGCATATATTTTAAATTGAGGTAAAAATCACGGATTGTATGAGCAGTATAAGGAGGGAAAGGCTACACAAGGGATGAAAAGCCCCCATCTTGCCCCTGTCCTTTAATAAGTAAGCATAATTTCCAGTATTCAGTGCAAGTCTCTAAACGTCACTGTAAACAACCAGGCCCACCGGTTTACTTTTCTCTCCCCTCCAAATGATGAGGCAACGCCTTTTTATTTTGTTTTTTAATCTGCACACAAAGCACCTAGGGCAATCAGTTCTTCCCATTAGGAAAGTCCCTCTCCAGGAACAAGGACACCTACGTTCTGTACAAGCCCCCCCTACTCCCTGATGCTCTCCCTCACTGCCTTGTCCAAAGGAGCAGGGGCTGCTTTACGCCTGTCCCCGGCTCAGTTAATTGAAGTTCTGCCTCTTTCCTGCTAAACTTTTTCCCCAGTCTGCCTTTGCCAGCCCCCTCGTCTGATTACATCTAGTAATTCTCCACTGAATGAACGTCATTTACAATAGTAGGGGAGCTCTGCGCTCGCTGCTGCTTCACGCTCCATTTGTCCTCCATTCTCCCTTTAAAGTACTCGTGTAATATTAATAGTCATGAATATCAATTATTATGAGGCAGTGTAGGCAAGCGGAGGGAGGAAGGGGCGCCCGAGCAGTCTGAGCCCAGCTTCGGGTGGAAGAGGACTGCATCTGGAGCCCCGAAGAGCGGCAGAAGAAAAGAGGCCAAAAAGACAGCAAGAGACCGATGAACAGCTCTGTCTGTGTGTGACAGGCATCGCCAATCTTGTTTGGGGGTGGGGGGGGATTTTTTTTTTTTTTTTTTTTTTTTTGATGGCTTGTCCTGGAAACCCCTCAAGCTCGGCTCCTGTGTCCAGCTCGTTTCTCTGCTGGACTCCTTGATTTTTTTTTTTTTAATCATTGTTTGATTTTGAGCAGTAACCAGGCTTTTTTTTCCAGATGTTAGTCCACACCTATTCATCCATGGTGAGTTTGGATTCACATTGTACCAGAATTGCATGCTCCCTCCTCTCACTGTCTCTCTGTCTCTCCATCTCTGTGCGTGTGCCTCACTCTCTCTGTCTCTGTCTTCCTTTGAGCGCCTTTGGCTTGGTAATTTAGCACCGTAATTGGACGAGGCTGCAGCTGCTTCTCTCTGCATTGTGTGCTCTCCGTCTGAGCTCCATGAGTCAGCTGGGGCGGGAGGAGGCCGCAGAGAAAAACTTTTTATTTGCCATTGCAGTTTGGAAATTTAGGTGACTATTTCTCCAAAAAGAACCAGAGGGACTTTACCAAGGCATTTCCACAGAGGAGAGGGAGAAACTTAAACACTCCTCTCACACACACACCTCCCCCTTCTCCTTCCACTTAGTTTGCTACTCCAGATAGAACCAACAGTAAGTTGTCTGGGCTTTTTCTTGTTTTATCCTCCCAACCCCAGGTCCTTCATTTTCACACCCTGGAGTATAAAAGCATTAGATACAGAAAAGCAACCTTAGAAATAACTCCTCAGAACCACAATTCAACTTAATTTGACGTGGGGTCAAGGTATGATTTCAAATGAGATCCATTTCAATCAAACACTATTTAAATTATTTAATTCCTCTTGGGGAGGGAGGGGTGACTGGGAACTCAGATCAGGCAGATTCCTCAGAGCTCCTGGAATTACCAGGTTTGTGTGGGGAGCTCTTGGTCAGCTGGCTGGGTTGCCACTGAAGGCCGGAGTTGGTTTTGAACAGAAGCAGCACAGCAAAAAGTATGACGTTTAATTTGTTATGCTTTGGACCTCTGAAAGATTAGGAAAAATAGTTTAAAATACCCAGAAGAGGAAATACTCTGTGTAAGGCTCCTATATTTTTAACCAAGGAATTTAGAATCTCTTCCCATACATAGTTACTTTACCCTCACCCCTTTTGCCCGCTTTGCACTCCCAACACAAGGCTCAGATGTTGGTTAAGTGGGTGGTGATTCTCCCCATTTTTCCCCCAAAGCCTGGCGTTTGGAATTGCTGAAATCATGTGCCCTCTGAGTCAACTTGGGAGTATAAGTTTCAGACTCTTGCTTCCCCTGTCCTGGGAAGAATATACGGAAGCCGGGCTTCTCCATTAGTCGCTTGTATTTTTTTTTCTTTCTTTCTCTCTCTCTCTCGCTCTCGCTCTGTCTCTGTCACTCTGTTTCTCTCTCTCTCTCCTTCTCTCCGCTCCCAGGACCGGCACGATGGCGTCCCGAGCCACAGCTCCAGGCTCTCCCAGCTGGGCTCGGTATCCCAGGGACCTTACTCCAGCGCCCCGCCGCTGTCCCACACCCCGTCGTCAGACTTCCAGCCGCCCTACTTCCCGCCTCCCTACCAGCCGCTCCCCTACCATCAGAGCCAGGATCCCTACTCCCACGTCAACGACCCCTACTCCCTGAATCCACTGCACCAGCCCCAGCAGCATCCCTGGGGGCAACGGCAGCGGCAAGAAGTGGGTTCGGAAGCCGGCTCTCTCCTGCCCCAGCCACGGGCAGCCTTGCCCCAGCTCTCCGGCCTCGACCCCCGGAGGGACTACCACTCGGTCCGCCGGCCAGACGTGCTGCTGCATTCGGCGCACCACGGCCTGGACGCGGGCATGGGTGACAGCCTCTCGCTGCATGGCCTCGGCCATCCCGGAATGGAAGACGTCCAGGTAACCACAAACAAACAAATGAAAAGGACAATAAATAAATAAACAGTGAATGCCCTGGGAGATGAGAGGGGTGGGGGAGGGGCGGCTCTGTATCCTTTGGGGGAGGTAGTTTCCATCTTTAGAACAGGAATAGCTGGACACCACATATATAACTGTTTCTGTGTTATACATGTATGGCTCTGTAGTGGTGATTTCTGGAGGTCCATTTATGAAAGCTGGAACCACTAGAAATGAAATCATGAAGGAGAAAAATATATGTGTGTGTTGATAGTTTAGCATCACCAGAATTAAGGCTAGATGTTTTTTGTCTTGCCTTAGCTACTTCCTATTCTCCTGCACTTTGTGCTAGCAAGCTGGGCACCCTTCCCAACCCACTCCCCATGAGTGTCCCATAGTGGGCCTGGCCTCCTGACAAGGCAGGTGAAAGACTGGGCTGCCTAGAGTATGGAGCGTCAGCAGAGAGGCACAAGGTCCTCTTGGGCTCCAGAGGTTCCTGCTGGATGTTAAGCATGACAATGCACATGGGAAGAAAAACATGTGCTATGATTGTCCAAACCAGGTCCTACTTTGAATGTCTCATAAGCTGCTGAGCCCTTTTTCAAGATAAGTGAGTTCCAGAGTCATCTCCTGAGAAATGGAATAATTGTGGGGAGAGACCCAGAAAGCCATAATTCTGCTTGGGAGTCCAAGAGCACACATACCATTTTGGAGATTGTTTTCACCTTTTGATCCATTAAATGACTGTGGAACAATATTCTCCACATCCCTCCTCAGTCCTCCCCCTCCGTTAATACTCTCCTCTCCCCAAAGCCACTATCCCAGTTAAAGAGGCATCACGTGTTTGTTTCTTAAAACAAAAGGCTCAACACACTCCCCCCACCCACTCCCTAACCCATCTGCAACCTACACAATGGAGCCTGATTTGGTTGAGAATACTTGGTTAAACTAAACAAAGAAACATCAAAGAAACGATTTCTAAAAACTGTCTGGGTGATTCTGAGCAGGTCTCCTTTTGCTCCCTAATTTAAATAGTCTGCATAAAAGATAAATATGGTTGAAAGGTATTTGACACTTCTGTCTCATTGGCATAGTTGTGTATATTATGCATCATTTTAGACATACCTCTAAAGCAAAGAAAAATGAAATGGGGAAGAAAAAAAAAGTACTTGAGTCCTTTTTTACCTTACTTGAAAAAAAAAGTATTTTGAACAGTTAAAATGTGGTGACAGCATCAGATGCTGCCTGTGTGTAGTCTATGATGGCTTATTGTTTTAAAGGAAATTCAGTTATTTATTATTTCCAAAAATGATGGAATCACCTGATTTGTGGCTGGATTTACCTGTAGTAATAAGAATGATCGTTTTGTTGGTTTAATCAAGCTTGATTATCCCTGTCTGGAGGGATTGCTCGTTTCGGAATACCATACGAGAAGGAAATATTTAAGAGCTTTTTAAAAAAAAAATGTACTGGGGTAATGTGTGTGTTGGGGGGGGGCGCGTAAGTTCTGAAATTAACCTTTCTGAGTACGCTCAAAGTGCTAGATAATGAAAGTGGATCAACTCATCACCACTGCTGTTGGCAATGCCAACACACTGGCGGCGTCATCATCACCCTGCAGGCCGAGTGACTCAGTCAACTGAACCCAGGAATTCTCTCAAAAGAGGGAATAGATTTCTCTGGTTTCAGTTTAGTTTAGGTTTAGTTTAGTTTTTAAAGATACAATTGTGAGGGGTTTTGAGTGTTTGGCCAAATGCAAAGGACGAGAGAACAGGACCAGTTCAGTGTGTATTGGGGAGAACAGCCTCGTCAAAGCGTCGCTCGGCTGGCTGAATTGTTGCGTCGGAACGCGGACCGCGAAGTGCAAAGAGCCCAGAGCAGAGAAGGTGCAGGCCCCGGCCCACGCATGCTCCCCACCCACACACCTCTGCCCTGTTCCTCCCCCAGAAGCTTCGCAGCCGCTCCTCTGGCGACATGGGGTGGCACGCGGGACTTTATCTGGACGACCCTCAGTGCAGGGGGTTGGGGGGAGACACCCCCCCTCCCGCCTCTCCCAGGCAGCGGGGACGATCTCGGTTTCCGTGGCGATGACAGGCGTCCCAGGCCTGGGTGTGCTTGCCGCGACACGGGGCAGGTGACAAAGAAAGACCGGGGAGGAGATGTACCTAGGACCAGAGCCCCGAATGCAGAGGCTGTGCCTCATCAGCTCCATCCCGGAGGATCCACTTCCGAATTAGGGATCTGGAGCGCAAGGGGCGAGGTGAGAGGGGGGAGCTGAAGTTACGAGCCTGTCGGGATCTCGCCGTTACTTGTAGCTACCGATTGGGTTGGCTGCGCCCGAACAGTCTTTGAGAAGGGACCAGAGAGTGCCTCGGCCTGGACCTCAGTCACTTGTTCGATCTCAAGAACCTATTATGTGTTCCGGATTCCTCCCCCCTCCTTCCAGCCGCGGACCAGACAGATCCCCAGGGCGCTGCTGGGCCGGTGGGCCTCTTAGCTAGGGGTATCACCTGGCCGAGGGTTGGTATGGGGCTATGTTGGGTGACCCAGACACACACGCGGAGGGCCACCGCCCCGACCGTGAGAGAAGAGGAGAGGAGCTAATTAACCAAATGCTTCTAATATTTTTTTAAATGAAACTATAAAACCCTGTCAATTTCTATTTCAATTTACTCACAGGGGCTATTAAACGAGCAAATCGCTGTTTGGGTTCTGGGTATGCTACATTTCACCCATTGTGTGTATGTGTGTTGGGGGGATGCAGTGTTAAAAACTCAGAAAAACAGCATCAGAATGGAGTGAGATGACACCTAGTTTGGAGTTTAGTTGTCATGGACACCTCTTCTTCCGATCTTTGCTCTCTAACCTCTCTCACCTCTACTACCCCTGAGTATAAACATATCAGGATGTTGTCAAATCCACCACACACGCACACACACACACACTCAAACACATCCTAGTGTCTTAAAGCAACCCCTGGTATCACTTTTAACTAAAGAAGTCTAGTAATTACGAGTCTGAGTTGTTTTTCTGCGCTTCCGCATGCAGTCCTAATTAAATCTTTACGATCCTCCCTGTGACGATTAAGCGCCAGCATGCTGCGTGAATATCCTGTACAAAAACCCAGCAGGCGGCCGTAATTAGATAGAAAATCAGACAAGAGCCTTCTCATTAACTACCACAACTACCCCCACGTCGCTGAAGAGGCGTATATACATATTTACGTATCGACGTGAGGTTGAGGTGTGGGGGCGCCCGGGTCCTGGCCCCTGAGATCCCGGGCCTGCCCGCCCACAGACACAGGCGATTACTTTTGTCTTGAGTGGACACCTCGCGTTGTAGACACGTGAGCATAGCAAGGCGTGAATCTTGTGTGTGTGTGTGTGTATGTGTGTGTGCGCGCGCGCTTGTGCGTGGTGGGGTCTCCTGAGGAGTTTTGAACAAGTTATATGAAGTCTTTTTTAAAGAAGCTTTTACTATTTCTTAATATGTACATGGCATGTTGCAACATGGAAAACGGTTCTTACGGAGAATAACAATTTTCCTCACCTTTCCGACAACTGAAGAGTGACTATTAAAAACGAAAAGAAACAAACTAACGTGCTCCCTTCGTGATTAGATCATCTCATTTCTAATGCTGCTTGTTTGGGGTAGACAGTCTCTTCCTTGTGATGAACACACGCCCTGTCTGGGGATGCACTGTGAGTGGGTGGAAGGTGCTGTGAAAACACAGCCTCACTCTCAAGCCCTTGCTCTTTACTTCTCTGTAGAGTGGGTGACAAATTGGTCCAAACTTGGGTTTCTAAGAATCAGGGAAAGCAGCAGGACATTTCAGAAAGACGTAGCATTTATCTTTCATTGGGGGGTGGAGGAGGGAATACAATGCTTTTGGACGCTCTGGGATGCACAGCCAAAACTCTGTTCTTGTGCATCCTGACAGTAAGAAACTCATCCCAACAGCTCTTTTCCCTCAGAAGTGCTGCCAACACCCAGGGTTGAAACTTTCCTTCTTTAGGATAAGACTGTGGCACAGAAGATGAATGCTCTTTGCCATTACCTAGGTGCTGACTGGGAGGATCTGAGTCTCTGTATCTGTGTGTCTATAGTTATTACTGCCATCCTAACAGGTGCGCTTCTTGCTGGGAAGTAGCAGCGGCAGGTCTGGGGGGGTGGAGCAAACTGTGCAGGTTCCTCTCAGGGATTATCACACAGCAAGAAATTCATAGCACACAAGGACATGTATGGACTGCATGGGCGTGTGGTCCTGCCAGTTTGCAAACGTGTTCCTATGTGTTGCTGTTTGCATTCCATTCCAAATTGCTCAGACTTTAATTAAAATCCCATAATGTAAACTATTATGTATTTGTAAAATGACTCTAGGGTTAAGATGCGCTGGGATAAAATTGAAAACAGAAATTATTCTTTCTAATATTGGTGAAAATCTTTCAGCTATTGCCAAATTTTCACAATTCATAAGAGCAAATAATATAAAGCTTTATATGTCTGTGTAACATCTATGTTTAATATAATAACTAAACCAATACTGCATCCCAGATGTCTCTCACAGTTCCTTTTTCCTCTGCTTCCATTGGAAGAATTTATAATTTGGGTGAATTTCATTTCTATGTTGATTTGGAGGTAATAATAATAATAAAACCTCCCTTTGTGAATTAATATAAATGGAAATAACAGGAACTCCAGTTTGGAATGACATGATTTATGTGTGCAATTCTTTAATATCCAGTCAATTTGAATAGTGATGTTTTTATATTCACAGTCAGTTGAAGATGCCAATAACAGCGGCATGAATCTATTGGACCAGTCTGTCATAAAAAAAGGTATGGATTATTCCTCCCAAAAGTAAGCAAAGTTTTCCTGTGCAGTCATGTCTTTATGAGTTTTCACTTTGGGGGAATTAGTTATTTTATAAGACAGAAATGTTTGTTCACAATCATAGGACAGGGGCTGTCTAGATGAAAAAGGCATGTCGGGAAGAAGGAAATTTGGGGGTGGGGGCAGCCAAAGGCAGAAACCCAGATAAGAGACAGAGGGACAGAGACTATTGACATTTTTCTCATGGTACATTTGGTAGCAATTCTAGATATATCTTAAATAATTGAACTACCATCATGTATGAAACTGACTAGGAAACACTGCTTTCAAAAATGTGCTATAATTATTTCATTGATAACTGGAGTTTGCTGAGCTAAACCCTATGTTGTTGAGATAGTTCCTCTTCTTGTTTTTGCATTTGATTTGTGTGTGTGTGGTAATTCTGTTTCCAGTTCTCTGTGTTTTATGAGTTGTTTCTTATTATTTTTTTTAAAAATTGTGCCAAATGTGTTGCTAAATATGCACATCCTAAGGAGTTGAGACAGCCTATGCACATTTCTAAATCTTTCTACATATGCATTCATGATTTAGTGTGACTGTGGAATCACCCCATACTGTTAAAGGGCATGTGATATTAACAAATGTTTGCAGTCTCTTGTACAGCTGTAAGCAAAATAATTAACTAATTAAACTAATTAAATGTAATTACAATAACTCATTTCGGGCGTATTGCAGCTGCTTAATTTTTCCCCCTCTCTTCTGACAGTCACTGAGAGAATGCCTAGCGATTAGTGTGGCTGCCGAAAGGCCCGAATGTCACTCACGTGCCACCAATTTAGGAGCTTGAATGTGTAAACAGTGCAATCTTTAATTATCGCAAGAACTGCTATTTGGAGATACAATTTTAACTACTGTAACCCTTTCTTATCGATTCTGGAAAAGGCCCGTCCTTATATTTGGTGTCAACAACCCCTAGCTTCAGTCATTTATGATTAATTTGAGCCACATGACACTCAAAAACAATTAAGGAAAAAGCACTTTGGAAAGTAACCCAAAGTCAAGGCATTACAGTAGGAGGGTCGTGAAATCAGAATTCCAAACAGGGTGAGGTATTCTAAATTATCTTCTTTTACAGAGACAGAAAAAGTGGCTTTAAGAGGTGGAGGATGGGAGGAGGGGAGCTGTACTTGGAATAATGCCATTTGGCTTTGGAATGTAATATCTTGAAGAAGAATAGTAAGATTTGGGGCAAAACTCTTTATTCTAAGTGTTGCTCCAAACATCCCTCCCTCTATTCTTTAGATAGTATCATTTCAGTTTTTAATGCCAGCTTTTGGGTTTGCTCAGACACCCAGGCTTGGTGCTTAGATTCGCAACTGTCCTGACAGCTCACTTTCACCATTTCCTCTGGGGTCTTCTCTTTTGGTTAATTGCTGGTCAATGGGGGTGAGTAGGGGAGGGTGGGGAGGCACTGCTCCATTGGCTTTTTTATTTCAGCTCCCCCTCCCTTTTCAGGGAAGGCTAGAACCCCTTATCTCAGGGCTCTGTATCCTAGAAACAACATTTGGGCTGTCAGTGGGGCATGCCCAACAGATGACCAATCAGAAATATTATTAATAGGTAGGCAAATAAAAATATTTGGAACTTAGCTTGCTTAACAAAGCGGAGCTGAAAATATTCTTAGATGTGGGATGCTTTGGTTTCAGGGCTTGTATATGTTTGTCAGCAAAAGGTGATTATCTATGTAGCAGGGTATCTCCAGTAATAAAGGAGAATATGGACTAAAGTTGCTGGTTCTGTTTTGAAAACACGGAGTACTTTTTCTGGCTCTGAAAGCCCCTTTTTAAAATTGTGCAGCTTTAAATAACTAAGTGGCACCCCAGTCACTTTATTGATTTAGGGGATAAGGTATGAATATGAAGTTTTAGGTTAACTCCATTATTTAGTATTTTAGGTATTTGCTTTATTACATGAAGAAAAGATCCTAATATATGTTTATCTCTAGAGAGTCATGGGCAAAATAGGAATAAGTGGTTGATTTACTGTTATAGATAACTATGAACCACTTGAGGCTATGGATTCACTTGCTCCTTCCTGGCCCTCTTTGTCCCCTCCCCTCCCCTTACAAGGGATAGCTCCCAGAGATTAATTTCATAAAAAAGGAGGTGAGAAAGTTTCTGAACTAAATTTTCTAAATTTCAACAACTGGCAAGGAACTTGGTTGCTTAATTTATTTTCTAATGGGCTTTTAGAGAGTTTTTATAATTTTTGTTTTTTGTAGAAAGATTTAAAAAGTCTACCTCATTAATAAAAAAAATTGTAGCCACTGATCCAGGTTCGCATGTCTCTGCCATTACGTATACTGAAGCCAGAAGACTTGGGCAAAAAAGATATATGTCTCTATGTCTCTCACTCTAATTATGGAAGGACTCTCTCCTAAAATTTAACCAGCCCAATTTTTCACCCGTGTCGATATCACCCCATAGATTATAGGCTAGCTCTCTTGTTATGTTTGCTATCTGGGCTTAGCTGACATTTCTGAAGTAATTTAGTTAAGAGGAAATGAGTTGTTCCCAGTAGAGAGAGCAAACGAGTGGAGTGAAGGTAGCCAGCGTGATAAATGGCTCTTTCATTTGAAGATCTCCAGAGCTCGTTTACGGCTAATTTTCTGTATTGGCCCCCTTTGAGCTATTAATGCAATCGGCAGGGACCGTGGCCCCTCTCCTCTTAGCTGCCCCATTAGAGCTCCCATTAAGATGTCGAGTCTCAACTCCAAGGCAGGAGTGGAGGGAGTAATGAAAGGTGCTTTTTAAACTCTCCTAATCTAAACCGGCAGAGGGTGGTTAATACGATTTGAAGGGGGCTGGTCAATGAGCAATCAATAAAGTAATAATGAGAAGGATTCGGTACATTAACAGTCTAAAAATCCAACGAGACATTAAAAAATCATTCTTAACTCTCAGTTCCATTAAGATTAGGAATCTGGGCTGGGGAGGGGGTGGGTTGGTGCCCAACTAATATAAATGATCACTGCTAACATCCTATAGCCTAACTAAAAGAAGGCTCACCTAGGCTTTAAGAAAAAGTTTTTGGTGCAATCAGAGGCTAATATGCAATGGGTCTGACACCTTAGAGAGCAGAAAATATGCTGGGATTTCTTGGAAAGGCTAGCGTGGCTGGAGTCCAAGGTTCAAATGTGACTGTGGGGCATTTTCATTGGTCTTAGGGATATCCTGTTTGGTTAGTTTCAGTTCAACCTCAGTTCTCTCCCACTTTTTTTCCCGTTAGTTCTGGCCCCTTCCCCATATAAACACTTTGATTAGTGTGGATTTTCTTTGGGGCGGGGGGGGGGGAGCGCTATGAAGAAATTGCCAATTTCAATTACAATGTTGGGATTCTTCCTTCTGACCTAGAAGGTAAAAAGCACCAAGAGTATGTCAGAGCCTCTGAAAGGGTATGAGTTTCCCCTCAAAAGAAGAGGTTCACATTTCCAAGGCTGACTTGGATCCCAACAGGTATTTATTCAACCCGAGACTCAGATACATTCCAGCCACCCAGGGAGTAATCAGAGTTCACAGAATTTCAAAGTTGGAAAGGTCAGACACTCTACTCCAACTCCCACCCCTACTCCCGGTGAAAAAATTGAGACAGAGAGAAGATAAATGACTTGCTCAAGGTCCTACACACAGAGTAAGTGATGGAACCCAATTCAGTTTCCAGACTCTTAGACTTCGCCCCTAAAGGATACTAACCCTGGATGTTTGTAGTTCTTTATATTCCAGATTTCTTTGTGAGAATCCTTTTATTTTTCTTTCCAGGATTTTGGTGCTCACATTTATAGATGTGCTATATATCCATGTGAAATAATATTTAGCCCTCAGGTAGATGAGAAACAATGCAAGTATAAAGGAAGGGGGTGCTCTGCTGGTGAGAAGTAGTTATTTCAAGCACTGTTCAACCTCTTGGTGGCTTCCTGGTGTAGCTTACATATTTAAGTCTGAGTATCTTTCAGAGGGACTTACCCTTGAATCTTTTAAATGGGTTCATTTCTTCCCTTCTTCCCCACCAGCAGATCAGAGCCACAGAGGGTCTGTTTGCAGTCAAACACAAAGATAGCAAGGCTCCAATTTTATACTTAAGTTTAAAGAATACAGATTAAGAGCTAGTCTATTAACACATTGGCTCTCTGTAGTCCACTAATGAATATTTTCCCTAATCAGTCTTTCTTCCTCTCTCTTAAATAAAACTCCAGTCACTGTAATGAAATATTATCGGTTTTAACCCTTTTTTTCTTCTCCCCGATATAATGCAAGAAAAAAAAGAGGGGAGCAAGGTTTGTGGATGTTACATCCAGAAGTTGGTCATGATATGCAACTGAGAACCGAATAGGGAAAAAAAAAAACGGTTTTAATGTATGCACAGAAAATTGTAAACATGTAAAGAACTGAAAGCTTCACGCTGAGTTTTGCTATGCTCCATTTCCTTACCATTTCCTGCTGTCGCTTTAAACCTATCTTAGTCATCTCTGGGTTCCATGAGCAGGAACAGTGTGCTCATAATTACTAACAAATCAACCGGGCCCTGTTGCTCTCTGGGTTTATTGATAAGCTGGAGGAAAGCAGAAGGGAAAAGACAAAGAGAATAAAATATGGGGTTAATCAGCTGAGCTAAGCAGGTGTGAGAGTGGAGGGGAAGGTAGATAACAGTGCGATGGATTTTAAGGAAAGTTAGGACAAGAAATGGGTAGGGTCTAGTCTAAGATACCAAGTCTAAGGCCAGAGTAGGAGAGGGTTAGAACCTGAAGATGAGAGAGTAGATGGTAGGAATACGATTTATACTTAAATTAAAAAAATGGAAATATAACCTGAAGCATGTCTGCTCAAATAGTTTGCATCTTTGTGGGGAAAACAACAACAACAAAAGAAGACGGCAGTGTGCTGACAGAAGCTAACTGGATTGGTGATATTTAGGTGATAATGCATTTGCGGAAAGGTACAGCCCAGGGAGGGAACAATATACATTCCCCATAGGAAATGGCTCTTGTCAGGTAAATCAAGCAATTAACAATAGTGAAATTAGAGGGCAGGTTATAAAGTGTCTCTTAAGGCCTGGCTTTTCAAGAGATTTGGCAACTGGGACTCTGAGAAGCAGATAAATTACAATCCTAAGGAGATATTTGGTTGTCCGATATGGGAAATAGGAACTGAACTTACTATTTTCAGCTTAGTGAGGTTTTTTTATTGTTAAAATATTCTTTCTCAAGAATATTTAATAGTATAAAATACAAAATACTAAATATAAAAACATTGCTGAGTGTTGAAGATGAGATTTTTGTGCAGTTTATTTCTATAGTTCTTCCCATGTTAAAATTACAAAAGGCCATCATCTATATTTTGGGGAAAAGTTTCTCCAAGGTTATCTGATGCTAATTCCCATGATCATAAATTATTTGCTTAGAGTTCTTGAATATGAATATGAATCTGAAATATGAAAATATGAAAATTGAGAGTATTGCAAAGAATAAGACAGATCAACATAGATGTGGATGTTGTGTAAGAGAATTAAATGATTTGTTCCCACCCAAATCACTGTCTTTTAAATAACTTTAACTCCATATTTTACTCAAATTTAATTAATACTCACACTTGGACTTTTCATTGGTTCACTCTCAAATGGGAAGCAGCTTCACTGATTATATGATGAGGGGAATCAGAAAGAAGACAGCACCCTCTGTAGCTCCCCACCACCACCATAGCAGTGCAGAAGATCCATTCTGTTACCCAACATCATTCACCTGCCCTGAGAGAAGGCTTTGGACTCTGTATACAGATCCAGAAATACTAAAATGTCTACTAAGGAGTAGCAAAAGGGACTGTTCCAAGACCCCCATCCATTCTCCTAGGAAAATCCTTTTCCACAAGGTGTTTGTAAAGGGCCAAATGCAATTCCTAATAAGTAAGAAATTTGGGACCTACCTGGGTTTCAGTCTCTAAACAATCATGGAGGTCTGAATGCCAGAATCCGTAGTGGAGAGAATAGCTGTTAAAAAATACTCAGTGTAGATTGGTCTGTTCTATACAAGAGAGGTCATGCAACTTGTCTGACATATAAGTGTTCTAGGCTCTAGACGGTGGAAAGAGCATATCTTTCCCCTACCAGGATTATAGGATGAGACACTGTTGTTTATTAAAGAACAGGAATGGAAACCTCCTTTTTCATGCCAGATGCATGTTTCAATAAATCCCCTGGACTGGTGATCAACAAATACCGTTTGAAGATTTGCGAGTTTCATATCCCACTGGAAGAAGCTAAGGTTTGTAAGGCAAATCAGGAGAAGTCACCTGCCCTGTGGCTTCTAGAGCCTGCAGAAATTCAGCAGTGTAGCACTCCAAGGGAGTAAGACTGCCAGTGAATTGGGAGGTTGACCATTCATTGTTCCTCATTCCCAGCCTTCTGGTTCTACTGAGCCCCGCCTCTTCCTGAGGTGCAGATGACACTGAAACACAATTAAACAGAAATACAGGCTGGTGAGACTGAATGCGCCTGGGTAGCAGTGGCAACCAGCTGTCAGCTCTTATTAACTTCTGCATAAAACATACCTTGAGTGCGGTTTGTTATCAATTACTTGCCGAAATGAAACAACTGGGGCAAGGCAAGACCTCCGCTCACATGAATTAGAGTGATTGGTTGATTGATCAGGGCACCTGTTGTAAATCATAACTGCTCCAAACAATCACCAGCCGGTGCTTTAGTTAATTTGTAAACAAAATTCATGTCACCGTGGAATTGCTTTCACTGGAGAGGAGCATTTGGGTTCATTTCTAAATGAATGTGTTGTTATGATGTAGGAAAGAATGAGATCCACTTTAGAGAAATGAGCAGCTCTTTTGAGCCCAAGCTTAACGGTATTACTAGGCTGTTCTTGAGCACAGTGTCTCTGATAGGGCCCACTCCTCTCCAGTGATGACCACAGATTTGGGTCCAATAGGAAAGGAGGGAGGGGTTCCCATAAAGAACACTGGTATTACCATTTTATACCATCGATAGTATAATCACTCTCAGGCTTCAGCACCAAAGGTGATTATTACCTCAGGAGACGGATGAGGAATCTAAGATTCAGAGAGGCTCCCTGAGATGTCCCAGGTCACAACCTAGCACACGATGGAATAGGACTTGCTGGGTTTCACAGCACAATCCAAACTCTGGGCTGCGTGTTTTCTTGATCTGTATAGCGAGCGGGGCTGTGGCAAGCGACACTCACAGGTCTACACACATGGGTAAGTTTCCAGAGGAGTGATGGCTTTTCCATTGGTTTGTACACAGTGCTCTGAACGCACCGCAGCCCCACTGGAACAAACACTTCCTCCTCCAGCTTTCCACTTGGCGCCCGTCCTGTGGCCTCGCCCCTGCGCACGCACCGACACATTCTATCAGCCGGTCACCAGGATTGAAACCCGGTCACCTTTATGGCATATTTTTTCTCTCTCTAGTTCCGGTTCCTCCCAAATCTGTGACTTCGCTGATGATGAATAAAGATGGCTTCCTGGGAGGCATGTCCGTCAACACCGGCGAGGTCTTTTGCTCGGTCCCGGGCCGTTTGTCTCTGCTCAGTTCGACTTCAAAGTACAAAGTAACTGTGGGGGAAGTTCAGAGACGGCTTTCGCCCCCCGAATGCCTCAATGCGTCTCTCCTCGGCGGCGTCCTCAGAAGGTAAAACCCCCAAACCGGTTATTGCGGGGTGAAGGAAGAGGGCTCTCCCGGAAACCTCCAGCGAGCCGGACGCAGTTGCCTAGCAACCGGGCGTCCAGAGCGCGGCCCCGCGCTGCGCGCGCGAGGAGCCACGGCCGCCACGTGCTGGGGGCCGCGCGCGCAGACGCCGCCGCCCTGGGACCCACGCGCCGCCAGCACGCGCCGCCGCGCTCTCCCGCTGTTGTCGGCGCTGGGAACCTCCCTCTTTCCCTGCCCTGTGCCTGGCGCCCGGCTCTTTCCTGTCCTCGGGACGCTTGGAGGGCACTCTCTAGCCTGAGCGAAACTCAGAGCCTACACACACTTACCTAAAACAGACGTTTCATGGCGTAGCCTGCCTTGTGCCAGTTACGTACTGTAACATTTCTCTGTTTTGTTTTAAAATATGCTTGGCGGACGACTAAATTGGTCACTACCTACCAAGGCATTGTGCCCTGAAGTTTGAAAAAATGCCGTGCTAGACTTGCGACCTCCTGTCTTCAGTAAGAACACCACCAATAATAACGATGCAATAGTAATAGCTATTTTGGGGGGCATTCGAGTGCTCCATAATATGGGGAGAAGACATTCCATAGACTTCCTTGTGGGAAATGGGGGAAGAGATGGCTTTTATCTTCAGATTTAAAGCCTTCACCCAGAATCTCTGCCAATGCCTGGACAAAGGACACTTTGGTAGTGTCTCTGATATGAAGGTGACACTGTAGGGGATGAATTTTTCAAGTTAGCCTCTTTGGGGAGTTGAAAGTCCCTTTCTTTCCTAAAAGTGGCTGTGTAAACAGTACAAGAGAGGTCAGAGTAACTGGTTTTTTCTCTTGTATTTTTGCCCAGAATTTAGCACATACAGGGAAAGTCTGGGGAGGAGGTAAGGGTGTGACTCATGGATTTTTCTCACTTCCAATCCTCTTGCCCTGCTCTCCTGAAGTGAGTCCTTTGAGCTCCGGAGTGTGGAAGTTTCTTTCAATCACCCCTGGGCATTGAGCGTGTGTGTATAAAACCTGCTATGAGATTAAGTGAGATAATCAATATACAGTGCTTATCGCATAACTAAACTCCCTAAAGTGTTAGTTTAACTGTTATTGCGATTACCATCATCATGCTGGTTTCATGTTTCAGTCTTCCTTCCCCTTTTAACCCAACTCCATTTTATAGTGACTCTTGACCCCTTCCTTGCTCGAAAACCCCACCTGTTTCAGCTAGTTAGTGCCTTCTCTCTGAACCACCCAGTTCTTTCCCTCTTTTCAGCAAAGTTGTGCTTGCCCAGTTTCTGTTCACCTAACTGGCTCCACTACAAGGAAAGAGCTTCTGTGTTGCATGTGCAACTTCTACCTTTTCTGGACCCACAACCTACACCGTAATTATTCCCATCTGGTATCATTTTTTTTCTCACGAGATTAAAAAAAGACTCATTTTTTTTAATGCTCTGTATTGCAGAAATTAAGCAAACCTCAGCAAACTATCAGCAAATAACCAAAAGGAAAGGGGGAAAATGTGCTAACCTCAAGTTAAAACCTCTTCAAGCTCCACTGGGCTTTAGATTGCTAAGTCTAAACTTTGTTTCAGGAACACTCTGAGGTTAATCAGAATGTTAATTCTTGCAATTTCAGAGCCAAATCGAAAAATGGGGGGAGATCTTTGCGAGAAAGGCTAGAAAAAATCGGTTTGAATTTACCCGCGGGCAGGCGCAAAGCTGCAAATGTCACGTTACTCACCTCCCTGGTGGAAGGTAAGCAAGACGTGTGGCCATTTCACGAAGTTTAACTGTTGGCTGAAGGCTGACATTTTACACGTTTCATGATTAACTGGAAATCACTGCGATTGTTGTGCCCTTATGAGTTGGATGTCAAGCGGCTGCCTGAGAGAAGTTCAAAGGTCCTTTTACTTAGAGGGAGCTGGCAATTGTAGAGAGGCCAAGGGACGTGTGCGAAGGTCCCTAAGCTCTGAAGAGTGCTCAGGTCCAGACTCTAAGGCAGTGCAGGGGTCACTTCTGCCACCAGATGCAGGACAGAGTGCATGAAACACCCTCTGTTTGAACTCTTGCAAGAGTAACTCTGGAAGCAGCAATCCATTCTATACCCCTCTCCTTCCCAGGTTCTACCTCTGTAGTAGAAAACACATTGTCAGTTTATGAAACTATTATTGCATTCATGACCCCTGTGGTTATTTTAAAACTCATGCCACTCCCAGGGTCCTATCTCCTGCTGGTTACCTGGGACTTACTATGAATGAAATATGGCTTAGTGAAGCCAATGAGGCCTAGGAGAAAATGGAGTCAAGGGTAGGGTGAGGAAACAAGGAGGGGAGTCACGTATGATCTTCGGTGTAGATCCATCAATTGTGAATTAAAGGCCCATAATTATAACAAGCACATTCTAATTTACTCATCATTTTGGGGTTGGGGGATGATATTTATGGTATGTAATAAACAGGATCTTCTACACAGTTGAGAACAAGAGGATCTGCAGTTAATTTGCGGGATGGGGAAGGGATAGGAAATACAGCCAGATGGTCCTAATGAAGGAAGTTGTAGAATTTTCTCTAGAGTCTAACATGTTGGTCTTGGTTTTTTCTTTTATTTTTATGGATGTGATATTATGACACTCCTGTGGGGAATTGGTTTTTGGAGATCTTAGAATATGCAAGGAGCAACCATAAAGTCATCACATTTATAGGCTTTGCACTTTGCCATCTTCAAGGCAAAGTTGCCTGGCCCAAATTTACCCTACAGGGGCAGCAGTCACCAAATTTCCTGAGCACGCTTATTAGCAGTTGACTCTCAGCCGGGCTGGGGGTGGGTTACTTTTTGCCCTTCAGAGAATTGCTAATATCACCATCCTTATTTTGTAAAAGCAGTCAAGGTAATCTCTATCCAAGACATGAAACTGGGTGGAGAAAGGACAAAACAGGGAAACTACTGAAATGCCAATATTCGTTTAGCAGTTTTCAGTTTTATGGATCTGGATCACTATAAGCATCATGCCTGAAGTCTTTTGTTGTTACTATAATAATGATGATTAAAAGTAAGTCATGCTCCTTAAAAATAACATAGCTATGGGACAATTCAACATGTCTCTTTTTCATGTTTGGTATCTTCCCTTGAACACCCAAGGCTGTGCATTAAAGGGTAATAATGCTTTATTTGAAAGGGGCTTCCACATAAGCTGAGGAATCTCTCAGATGTCCAGGTTTTCTATAGCTGCTGTGTCATCTTGTGCAGTAGAAAGTCCTTAAGTAGGAAGATGATGACAGGAACCTCTGAGGAGAAACCTGAAACCTATCAGGAACCGACAAAGAATAAATATTTCATTGCTGGACAGAAACACTCATTCCATATGTTATTACATATGTTCTTTAATATGTGTGGACATGTACACACATGGAATTATGTTTGTATATATTAGTTATTAATAAGAGGTTTTTTCCTAGTGCAGTTATAGGAAGATACAAAAGATAATACAAAAGATAGGAATACTTTTAAATTTTACTTAAAGCAGGTGTAACAGGTGCTTTTAAAAGGGGGAGGGAAATCTGGCTTGAATATCCAGCCAATTGTCTAGGTGCAATTGTAAGGTGGCTCCTGAACATATATGCCCATCTTTCCCTTAAGAGAAAGCATGGGGTGTAGGAGGCCTGAAACTATTCAGAGGATGCCTAGCTAGGACTTGGCTAAAAGGATCATCAGGGAGAGGCTGGAAAGAGCAGCAGGGGCAAAATTTCTTCCATCAACTTTATGGCCTGAGAATCATTTTTATTTGGGCATCAGTCTGACCTTTGCTTTTACCCCCCAACAGCTGGCCTCTTCTGTAAATAACAACAGTTGACCAGGAAGGATCTCTTGTCCTGGGATGATTCGGGACTAGGTGCTGAGTATTAACCTCTGCTGCTGTCTTTTCAGGAGAAGCTGTTCACTTAGCTCGGGATTTTGGGTATATTTGTGAAACGGAGTTTCCTGCTAAAGCGGTTTCTGAGTATTTGAACCGGCAGCATACCGACCCCAGTGACCTGCACTCACGAAAGAATATGCTGCTGGCTACCAAGTGAGTGTCCCAGACCCTCAGCCCTCCTCCCTGACTCCCACCTTGCTGCATCACCTCATCACCTCGCTTGGGGAGGCGGTGTTGGGGAGCTGGGGAGTGGCAATGCAGACCTCATTTGTGGAGCAGGGAAGCAGCTCAGTGGTCAAAGTAGCTTTTGCAGCCTGTGGATTGCTGGCTAGGAGCCCTCCCGGCTCCACCCTGCTGCCCCTCTCTCTCTCACCCCCCTCTCCACCCAAGTTGATTATGGGCTATGGGTTTCTCTTGGTCTCCTCTATTACCAAGTTTCTGGGGGAGAATGGCCTTATTAATATGAGTCCAGGCTTTTTACAGTTCTTATCGCGTTCTTCTGGGTTGGTCCTTGTTCCAGTTCTTCCCTGGGTCCCTAGGTGCACATTTCTGCCCGGTTTCACATCTCCCTGTCATATCCACGCTCGAGGTGTCTATATGTCACCCACGTGTACCCATCTCTACCCGCAGCTCTAATTATTCTCTTTCCTACGTTGCTGTTTGGCATCTTCCACTGATGTAAAATTTACTACAACTCCAGAGGGGAAAATAGTAAATCTCTGGCTAAATTTAGGTCTAGAGCTCATTTGAACTTTTACAGTGGGTTTTCTATTTATTTGATTTACTCTTGTCTTTGGCTTTGGTGTCATATTGTTGGTGGTTTATGGCCGGCTCAGGCCTGCAGTGGGCGGCGCTGCGTGCATCCGCACGTTTCTCTCGCAGGCTCGGCCCAAACAGCGGCGCTCATTTATTTAGTGCTGGAGGACGCGGTTTGTTCCGTTGACAGCGTAATTTAAAGAAATATATGGAAGGCTGAAAAATCATTTGCTCAAATTTGTCCAGATGTTTTTGAGACGTGATTGGAATTTGATTGCCCCTTTCCGCAGGGTCAAAAAATATTAATGTCCCAGAACTTTAATTGCTTACAGACCCTGCTTTGGGCTTTGAAGATTTAGAATGTTTGACTCTAAGCATTTGTTCTCCCCAGTTCAGAATTTCCTTTTTGGCACTTTGGTAATGAGTACAAACTTAAGGAAAGACTTTAACCATCTCTTCAAATGATCAAAACCTGGCACCCATCCTGGTTATGGAAGGTTTCCTTCTGATCCACCAACTAGCAATATAATAGATCTATTGCCCTCCTGCCCCTTGCCTCACTGTCTGGTTGTGGGGGACCTGTCGGTGCTTTATAAAAGAGTAAGTGTACTTTGGGGAAAAAATAAAACTAAAGTGCATAAATTAGGTAATAGGAGTCCACAAATGCTATCATTTCCCTAAGGAATGCTTGTAACTTCCCCCACCCCATCACCTCTTGAAACCCTGTGACTTCACTTAGGACACCACTTCTTAACCTGGGGTGAGTATCAGAATCATCTGGGGAGCTTTTCCAAGATACTTATTTGTGGACCTAGTCCCAAGCTCCCTGAATTGGAATTGTGGGGACAGAGGCATGGATGTGTGCATTTGAGCCCCACAGGTGATTCCAAGGTACCCCTGGCCTAAGAACTGCCCTATTTAGATAGAACCGTTACCTATTTCTTCCTAGTTGTAAGAATGCATGTGTGCATTTCGAGTGGAGAAACCAATAGAGGGGAGGGTAGAGAGAGGATACCTGTTAGGATTCTCTACCCACCAGCCTTAAAACCAAAACCCTTTCATCTGCTGCAGATGGGGGTGGGGGAGGTAATTCTCTGTCTTGTTCAGGCATTACTCTTCCTGAGAGTAATCCCCTTGGCAAAGGATGCCCCAGGGTCACTCATATGGGCTTCTAGGTAACTGCCTTGTTTACCTGTTGTCCAGGCCCCACATGTCCCCAAATGTCAGGCCACGGGGAGGGCGGTGGGGGGTGGTGCGGGTGCTGAGACTGGACTTCTGTAGTTTTTCTTTCTCACCACCCCCGCCCCCTACCAGTGGAAGCAGTCTGCCGGTCTGTGAAAGGCTATGGCCTTTGGGATGCCATTCCTCTGACTGGTAGCCGAGCCAAACCATTGGACCTTCCGGGCTAAAACCCTCCTATATTAACCCTCTTGTCCTCCTCCTATATTAAAAATTTCTCAAATAAGCTCAATTCGTAGTTAGGCGCGTAGGATTTCTAAGGCTGAGAGATTCCTCTAAATTGTAGTTGCCTTGAGGAAATAAAAACCTTCAACAAATAAAAAATCTACCCTCCCCAGTGTCTTAACCATCTACCTGTAGGTTTTATTTAAACAATGTAAGAATCCTTTTATATTGACAACAATCCTGTTGTACAAAGATTTCAGTAGCCTGTGCTTAAAAGAAAGGGGGAAAAGGGGAAAATATACCTTCCTTCCCAAATACTGCAGGTAAACAGATTTTTGCTTTAAATGGAATCAGCATTCTCTCCTGGAATAAACAGTTGCTTGCCCTGGGCCATTCAAGTCTCCCGCAATCTGCTTCTGTGCCAGGGACAGGCTTGTGGCTCAGGGGCCTAAATCTTTCAGGGCTTTTTGAGCCTGATCACCAAGAGGTTAGAGAGGCAGAGGAGAGAAGGGGGAAGGGGTTTTTACAAAAACTGGCAGGTAAGAGCGAAACATTACTGAATATTCAAAACCCAACGCTAAAGCCTAGCCGATTTCCCAAGCAGAGTTTAAGCGGCCCTGGAATGAAGGGGGGGTGGGGGGGGGAGACTGGGTTTGAGAAAAAAGGCAAGGCTTTGGGATAGAAGGGGTGCCTAACTTCCCCACCCCCCGCTTTCCTTCTAGTCCCAGCTGCTCCAGAAGGGAGAGCTCTGGGAAGGGAATCAGAGCGGAATCGTCCACATTAGCCTTGCTCCCCGGCTCTATGGTGACCGGGCGCCTCTGGGCTTGTGTGAGCGTCTCCTTTCTAATGCCAGTGACAACGACACTGAGGGTGATTTTTTTAATTCCTCTCCCACCTCTTTGCAGGCAACTCTGTAAAGAATTTACGGATCTACTGGCGCAGGACCGGACGCCAATCGGGAACAGCAGGCCTAGCCCCATCCTGGAGCCGGGGATCCAGAGCTGCCTCACGCACTTCAGCCTCATCACGCACGGCTTCGGCGCCCCGGCCATTTGCGCTGCGCTCACGGCCCTGCAGAACTATCTCACCGAGGCACTCAAAGGCATGGACAAGATGTTCTTGAACAACACCACCACTAACAGGCACACGTCTGGGGAAGGCCCAGGTAGTAAAACTGGCGACAAGGAGGAGAAACACAGGAAATGAAAAATTAAAAAAAAAAAAAAAAAGAAAGAAAAATGTTTTAAATACAAAAGGAAAACAGAAAAAATTTAATTTTAGCTTTAAAATGTTGGATTGGCTTTGGAAGAATTATATTAGGTAGAATACACATACAATCAAATTTTAAAAAAAAGAGCTAAATAACTTTTAAAAAAAACTGAGGCGTACAACGGAAGCAACAATATCGGTTCTCAGTGTCTATTTCAAGATACACTTGGAGACAAACGTCCGGATTTTCCACTTCGGTTCTTTCGAGCTTAGTAATACTGATAATAAAAGAAAACCATGATTTTCCCCCTTTGGAAAATAAACGTAAGACTAAACATGAGAAAACGCTAACTTATTGGAAGAAAATCGGAGAAACATTGTTGGTGTCAGTGCTTTGAGAGTTGGTTGACTGAGACGCACGAACTTTTTAATTTTTAATATTTTTTTAGGAAACACTCTTGCAGTCCCCGCCCTTCCACCTCACCTCACCCCTCTCCCAGCCACCCTTTTCTACGTTGCCCTGCCTCCCTCAAGCTGTCACAGGAATTTTCTGGGATGAAAATGAGTGTGGTTAGCCCCTTTGCGTTGTGTTTCAGTCCCCTGGGTACCCCCGCCCCCGCCCCGCACTGCGTTCTTAACTCACTGGCGCCCAGCTCCCAGGCCATTGGCACCCTTGGGAGGGCGAGGGTGGGCGGGGAGGGAGGCCCGCGGTGGTGCCGGTGGGGGCTGCCGCTTGTGCCGGGTGGCTGAGCAGAGGCTCCTGCGGCTGAGGAAAATCCGGATCAATAAGTTGATTCAGACTCATCATCAGTTCCTTTCAGAAATGTTACTAATTCCCAGCCTTGCCGGCATCTGCATACAGAGAATCTTGCACTTGTTATATTTGTGTCATCTACCAATTTTAAGAACAATAGTAAAAAAAAAAAAAAAAGCACAATATGAATACGTTGATTAGTATGTAATTCCTTCGGAGGGGTATGTACCATTTCATTCTCTTCTGTTTTCCAAAGCTTTGCCCGCATGGTTTATGAGCTTCTTCAAAGAGGACTTGGGCTTCCTACACAATCTATAAGGTACAGAGAAAAAAAAAATCCGATCCCTTTTTAATCAAAGCCTGTGTGTCAGAATTCTGCAGGTGCACTTCTTTAAAGAAGCTCAAAGGGAATAATTTAGAAAGTGGCCAATAAGAGATTGAAGCAGCTTTGAGTCTAGTTGCTAACAGATACCTCAACATGGAATTCCACAGGAGGGGGAGCTGAAAAATGAATTTTAGGGGAGAAGAGTAAGGGTTCTTGGAGCCCAATATTTTTAGCAATATTGACCTGCCTTTGAAATAGATTCCATTTCCTTGGGCTCCTTGGTGATTGCTGTTTTAGCCGGTGAAGAAGCAGCTTTTTGAGTGGTTGTGGGGAGGAGGGTGATGCAAGCTCCTGTGTTTTAGCAACAATCGCTTTCTTACAAGATGCTTTATGAATGAGACACTCCCCCCTCTCAGACGTGCACTTGCTGTGGCATATAATGGCAAAATAATGAATGCAAAGTGAAAGGAGATGTATTTCAGCTTTGAATTTTACTGTCTGTATACACTGGGACTATTCTCAGTGGATAAAGTTTCCTGCATTTAATGTCTCTCATTTTGGCAGCCCTGCTCCTTTCTTGGGCTTCATCTGAGCATTATCATGAAATAAGATCTGGAACCCATTGTTCCCACCCTCCCCAAAGCAGTGGGGAAATCCACACCCAGTGGTCTCTAAACTTAGTGTTGATACACCTCTTTATACCAACTAGACCTTAGGACCTTTGCAACAACCCTGAAAGATAAAGATCCTGTCTGTTCTGCAGGGTTTACACTTAAGATCCACTGGGACTCTCAGTTCTGCTGCCCCCATGGGCTTTGGCTTTGGGGGTAGGTTGGAAAATTGGGGTTTAGGCACCTGCTGAGAGCTTTGCGCTGACACTTTTATGGGGGAGGGAGTTAGGGAGCTGGTTTCAGATCACCAGGAAGGTCCAAGCAACGGTTTTGGTCACATCCCAGCCCATCTACCGCTAGCTCCTTTGGGGACTTCTGGGTGTGCAGGGCTCAGCCCTAGACGAGGTGAAGTACAAAGGCTGGGAACTAAACCTAATGGAGAGTGTAGACACTCCATCTCTCCCCAGCTCAGAAGCCTGCGCCTTTGTCGGAGGGCCTGGCCGCTTGCGTTATATGTATTCTGACTGCAAAAGGCCAGGAGAAACCACACTGAAAACCATCGTCTCCTTTCCTTGCAGGGCAACGCGCCCCACGCGTGTGACGTGCGAGAGACGCGATGGACGCGCCTTGCTCTTACTGTGCAGGTCCTGAGAGCGTGTGGGCCACTCGCGCCCAGTCGTGTTGAGGACATAGAATCAGCCGCTGGAGGGGCCTCGGGCCGCGCGGGCCCTTTTCGCTCTCGGTCTCACCCTAAGGGCTAAGGCGACCGAGAAAGCCCCATTCTCCAGTAGGTAATGGGGCGGCGCCACGCGGGCTGCAGGCGGGGAGGGGTCTCAGCGTTGCCCGTGCCCTTTGCTACCAGCGGCCGCTCCGGGCGCTTGCTCCCGGAGGGCAAGTGGCCTAGAAATGTCCGGGGAATCGGAAGCTTCCCCAACCTTTGGCAGGACGAAAACTCTCCCTCCTCACGCTCCTAAAGGCGGGTGATGGGATACGAATTGTCCATTTTGGCTATGCAGGCTCTCTTCATCGCCCTTCGCCCTCATTCGAGTGTTCCTCCCGCGCCCCCGCTAAGTAGAGCCCCTTGCGCGCCTCCCGCGCCCCACCCCCCGCGTGGAGAGAGTCCACTGCCTCCCCCGCTCCCTCACTTCTCCTTTTATGTACTACCCCCGCCCCCTTTGCTTTCGTTAGCCAGGCCCGCTACGTTTATCTGATAATTGAGTTATTAAAAGATTTGGTTTCCTTGGGCCCATAAATCAATAAACAGTAGGATTAACGCAAGAGTTTGCCTTTTAAGTCAAGGGAAACGTTTAAAACAAGCCCTTTTGAGCTTTGTTTTCAAACCAAACAGGTGAGTTGCAGCTTTTCCTCCACCCTGCACTCTTGAGACATTTTATCCTTGCCGCGTGCCCCCTCCCGAATGCTTAGTCCCAAACCAAAACAGCTAAAGATAAAAAAAGGAGTCAGGATGTGGCAGCGCTGCCTTCACACTTTCCACTTTGCAAGTTCCTTTTGGAGGTTCCAAAGGTCTCCTGACCATTCCCTGTCCAACCGTGCCTCCTCTTACAGGTATCATGGGTCTCAGGGGAGCAAAAAAAACAAACAAAAAAAACGGAGGAGCTCTCTGAGAGAGGCTTCCACCATCAAAAAAAAATGATCTTTAATTTCTCCCCCAAACTGGGAAAGTAACTTTCTCTCACCACCCCCACTCCCCAAATTATCTTGCATTTTCTTTCCTTCTCCCTGGCTCCACATCCTTAGCTTTCTCCACCCCCACATAAAGAACTGAAGAGGCTTTCAAAGATCTGGCTGTTTTATTTTCTTTGGCCAAGGAAGCCACTTTCTCTCAAGCAATTATTTCATATCCTATGAAAACTTTGGTTGAATGGAAAACCTGAAGCCCCCGGACTTATCTACACACTGTTCCTCTGGTACAAAGCCTTACTTAAAAGGGCAACTCCTTCCAACTTAGAGTGTTTATAGAGAATTTGTCATCACATCTGATATCCTGTATGCGTAATACATTATGTGGAAAGGAAATAATAATCTTAAACCATCTGATGTTGCCTCAAGAGCCCAAACAGTGTTTCCCCTCCTGTGCCAATATATGTTAAATTATCGGGGCTAAAAAGAGAAATAAAGAAAAAAAGAAAGAAAAGAAAAGAAAAAGAAAGAAGAGTAAGAAGAAATATCAAAATATCAAAATTCATTTTTGTTTTCTTTCAAAAAGTGGAATGAACACAATTCTTTAAATGCCAAAATTGACTCCACTGTTGAGTTGGTCTCTAATTCACTAACATTGTTTTTGCCACACAATCAAGAAATATCAATCTATTGACTCTTCGGAAGAAGAGTTCTGGAGGGTATCCATGTTAAGTTTGTATATATTTATTTATGCTTAATTTAATGGGAATGTGTAAATATGGCAAGTAGTTTGGGATTATTTATCTGTGAATCTATACCTCTGTGAATGGGTGGTTAAAAAAAAAAAAAAAAAACAAGAAAAAAAAAAAAAAACAAAACGCTTGACCCTAGGTAGAATCCTATCTGAATTTTTCTGTTCTTTATAGACAAGCTGTTATGGTAATGGGTAGAAATTGGTTTATTGTCCAGTGTTGATCTGATTTACACAAATAAAAAGACTTGTGTTTTTGTTGTGTTTTCATCTTCAGTTTCTTGAATATGGACATTGTTTAATTCTACAAACAAAAAAAGTATAGCCAAGAATTCTTTTCCTTTTTGTCTCCTCTCACCAAAACACAGGCAATGTTTTCGTTACAGCATAAATACAATAAATTTTGTTTCTTAGAAAAACAGATACTTTTGTTTTCACTAGGAGGTGTTTTTTATATTCTTAATTCCAAGTTGACACTCTTCTCTCCTCTTTCTAACTAGATTTGCAATAAAAGCTCATGTTAACTGCATCTCTTGGTTTATTTTTGCCCTTTAAAAAAATGAGGTGTCAAATTTACTTCCCAGGTAACTGAAAGACTCTGTGTCCCGGTAACTAAAGGGCTCTGGGTCCAAGTCAAAGATGATGCTCCCCTCCCACTGCTAATGGGATAGCATTCTGGCATGGTGTTCCTTGGAGAAAACGGTGCAGGAGATGCCCACAGGGCCAGGTATGGGCTCCTGCACCCCACACCTGGGGATCTGGAGGAGTTAACTGGCTTATTTCAGGAATGAACCCAACCCTGACCTCACCAGCTATGCAAGGCCCTCCATAAACAAATGAGGAACAGCTCCTTTGACCCAGAGGAGGAAAAAGACACAGTTGTCTTAGGAGGTTGGTTCTTACCTTAGGCTCAGAGGCTGCCTAGAGAAGCCAGAGCTTTTCTCATTTGGGTTAATGGGCTGCAGCCCAGCCCTAATGGGCTGCAGTGATCAAACATCTTCTCAATCTGTATTTCATCCCAAGGCTTGGGCGTCTTCCCTGAGGCAAGGAAAGTAAAGTCATCCAAGATGTTACACAGTTTGGACAAGTCACTGTTTCTCTTTGGACCTCAAGGTCTTTATCTGTAAAATGTGGGCCTCCTAGGGTCCTTTCCAACATCCAAATATTGCCTGGTTTAATTATAAAAAGCAGAAACAGTAACATGTATATACATTTAAGGATAATCAACAAAGTCGAATCTTGATAACCCCAGATT